GGACCTTCTCATCATTCTCAATTAGATTCTACTTAGTGGGGAGTGTTGCCTGGTCAGGTATGGTTTTACAAACCCACACTAACTACCAGTAGATTAATAACTAAATTCCTGGTAGCAATGAGCTCTGTGGAGATGGGGTTTTCCATAAGACTACTTTGGCACTTTCCGGTGATGAAAAATTGGTCTATATCAAATATACAATACTGGACAACTCATGGTCTATCATGAGTAAAACATAAAGGGTCTTTGCCCATCCCTGCTAAACCCTGGATTGAACAAATCAGGGTTGGTTTGCTTTTCAAAATAGGGAATGTGGTACAGCTATTGCACTGTCTCCAGAGCATTATTCCTCAGGACTCTCCAACATGAGTCACCCATCCCCCTCTCTTCTAGTGGAGCAAGAGAGTTCTTACCACTCTCAGTTTCCAGTTACTGAAGTGGTGGACAGAGGTCTGTTCCTCCTGAGTGAAGTTTCTGCTCTTTATTCCACTCAAGGAGAAGAGAGCAAAGCTGGATACCCTCCCAGCCTTAACCCTGGATGGTTTTTTTCCCAGATCTCAGGTGGGGAGCAGATCCAGCCTACACAGGAGCCTCCTCGTAATTCTGGTTCAGAGTTGACACTTTGCTATCCAGTTGTGTGAGTGTGGCCCTTTTTGGTCATTCTGTTATTTTCTATGATCATGGAAGAGGGTCCTTGACTCCTTGTAATTCTGGTTTAGAGATGACACTTTGCTATCCGGTTGTGTGAGCATGGCCCTTCATTTTGGTCCTTCTGTTACTTTCCATGATCATGGAAGAGGGCCCTTGACACAAAGTGTCATGTCCATGAGCCATTGGTTGAACTTCGTTTGTTTCACATCCTTCTTAGAATTCCGGGAGCAGGAGGTGTTGCCTTGCCTCCCAGGTTGAGGAGTTAGGATTTCGGTTTGTAATTCCAGGCTGGAGGATCTCTGTTTCTTCGGGTTGAGTGAGGCATGAATTGGCTCAGTTTCTTGCATTCTGTGCTTCTTCAGGTTGGGGGGAAGACTTATCCAGTTGGTTATTGCTTGCTTTCCTTTCATACTTCTGATGTCTCGCATGCAACATTCTGTAACTGTCAGGTTGGGTGCCTGTGCCCATAATTTTGAGTTTGGTTTGTTGCATTTTTGTGCTTCTTCAGGTTGGAGTGAGGAGGGATTGTCCACTTAGATGTTGCTTGCCTTTTCTTCATAATTCTGGTGGCTTGACATGCAACATTCTGTAACTTTCAGGTTGGGTTCCCTTCATATCATATTCCTTTTATACAATTATATCATAATGTGGTCCCCATGCTCTAGCAAATACATCTTGGATCTAGCTTTGTGTCCATAGCCCTATAATTCCAACAAGGAGATATGGAACCTAGTCTGTGTGGTTGGGGCCTGGACAAATCTTGTGATAATGAAAAAAGGTTGACTCTAAAACCAGTTGGGCTTTACCACTCTTGTTTAGATTTCTCTTTATCTGCATAAAGAGCATACCTGTTTCTGAAGTAGTGCAGACCCCCACTAGCATGCTTTATTATATCTCAATTTTGCACACCTGGTTTTCTACACAGACACTTTCTGTGTGGATCTTGCCCATACCAGCCCTTCCTCCTGGTCTAGGTGGGATTCTAGCTGAAGTGGGTGCGAAGGTAAGTGTGTTTCAGAAGTTTACATTTTCCTATATGGAAAATGTATTTCTTATAATACTTACCTCCTTTCATGTTATCTTGCTTTCCTCCCCATGATAGCTGGTGTATGGGTCTGATAATGTTACCAGTATAAAAAAATGAGTTAGAAAAAATAATGAGAAGCTTTTATAGGGATCGTGTATAGAGGTCACATTGACGTAGGTGGAGAAAGTCATAACATTAAAATCTCTAGGCGTGATATAGTGAGATATAAAGACTGGAGTAAATCAGGTAGAATTCATTGCTTAGTCAGGCAAAGAAGAGAACCTTTCATCAGGATAAAGCTAAAGTTTGAGAGGAGGTAAGTATTAATGGAAATACATTTTTAGTATAGGAAAATGTAAACTTTTAACTTTGGGTGAATTTTGTGTGATTTGGATGTTTTTTATGCTGTCTTCTCTGTGACTTTGACTGAATATCTTTTGGCAACACTGGTCTGTCATGGGTAGACTCTTATATGTAAGTACAAAGTCCTTTAGCAACAACCAGTATTTTGATTAGGAAAGGATATTAAAGGGGAACAAAAGGATAGATTACACTGGCAGTGATGCACAGATTTTCTCTCTATTTATTTTGATTATAGAATGACACTACTGAAAAGGGGATCAAAAAGTTACTGTTATACCATGCTTTAAAGAGAGATTAAAGACTATATATGAAATAAAAAGATTACACTGGCAGTGATGCACAGATTTTCTCCCTTTATTTATTTTGATTATAGAAGGACACTACTTAAAAGGGGATCAAAAAGTTACTGTTATACCATGCTTTAGAGAGAGATTAAAGACCATATATGAAATAAAAATCATTTAAGTGGTCTGAAAAAATGAAATGGTTTGTCTTTTTTTAATGAAATATGAGTTCACAACAAAATAAATTGATATATGTTGATATCTTTAGTTCACTTTCAATTTACATAACATCCACTATTTCATTCAGTAATTTTTCTGATAACCTCCACTATAGAGTACAATGAGCTATAGGATTGGCCCTAAAAATGTTTTGGGGGCTCATATGGCTCTCTAAAAAACTGTTAATCATGAGCCCTGTTGTGTACTAATAATAAGTAAAGCTTTAAAGCAAAATAATTTAAAGAAATATCATTGCATTAATTGTAAATAGAAATATGTATGCTGATAGGCAAGTGAAATATTGTTAAGTAATTTCATTGTCTAAAAATATTCAGTGGAGTTAAAGAAATGCATTGTTACATAATGGTGATGTTAAAAATCGTTTTGAAATGTAGAGTTTAGTTATCATCAGGGATATCGAAAGTATGTGTATATATCTGCCCTAAAAACAACAAAATGTACAAGTTGGTCTCAAGTACTTACCAGGATCAGTTTCTCGAAGTTCAGATTATCCCTATTACTTCACTTTAGGTGAACTCTGTTTTCCCTTATTACATTAATTTTTTAAATAGTAATAAGTCCCTTTATGACCATAGAATTACCTTCTTCATCATCATTTTCGACCCCCTCCCTTTTTTCCTTTTTGCAATTATGTTCAGTGCCTATGGCTTCATATCTGGAAGCCAGATTTTCCAGTTGGGTGACTCAGTTGTTAGTCCATCCTTGCTGATGCTGTTTTTGTTGGACTACCTCCTACATTGAACATTATATCTTGTTTATCTTCTACTCCTCAACACAATGATTCTTTCTTTATGCATATTTTCATGATCATGGCTTCTCAGTGTATTCTGTTTATACAGCTGGTTACAGAGCTGCTTTATCTTTCACTTTTAGATGCTATGGAAGCCATTGATCTCTCTCTCTTTTTTTTACCCTATTTTTCCAGGCCTTTCATCTTCATGACCCTAAATTCCTACACATTGCATTACATAGGTTTTGGACTTAGTCTTGCATTTTTTAGCTTCTCCCACTTTTGAATTCTAAGTGACTTGTTTAGTCTATTTTCTCTCACTTTTATCTTTATTACCTGTGTCAGGTAGAAGACATTCTGATATCTATACCTTTGATACTTCATGTACTTCATTTTACTGGAAGGCCTTATACCCACATTTAGACTTCCTATCCACACAGGTAATCTCTGTTTCTCGCCTGTTGTGTTACCTGACCTTATTGATCCTGATACTCATTCAGGGGAATGTTTTTATGTTCTTCCAGGACTAATATTTGTTATCTAGCATGTCCTGGATATTTTGTGAGTCTTAGAAATGATTGTTAATACTTTAAGATGAATCATACTCAGGCTACATTTACAAATAGGCTTATGTAATTTATCTGTTTTGTTGATCACGATGTTCCCAAATACCTGAAAAGTAAATTTTGGGTTACATCTCACTATATTTACCATTTGGTATCCCTGTTGTACTCCTGCTATTCTGCAGGCCAACATTTGGACAAACCTGAATACATTCTTAAAATTATATTTATGTCACATTGCTGTCTCTTCAGGTTCAGGATTCCATTTACATCTGGTTGTTATTCTTCAAACCAGATGAAATATCTAGAAGGTGAGCTATTCTTTGTAACTCTTTTACTTTGGTGTATGCCTATGATGTGCATGATGATGTAAGTATCAATATACCATCAACACCCTATGTATTTACCAATTACAAGGGTGTTTGGAGTTGTAGATTCATTAAAAATGTCTTTCATTATAAAGAGGGGACTTAATATTTGAATGGATACATCCATTAGGAGCTCTTGTATGTTTCAGTTTGCAGTATGAGAGGATGATATCATCTAAAAGTGGAAAGAAGATGTTATCTGGTTTCTGATAATGCCTTTGCAGGTATATTTTCAATCTCCATGTGCACTTTCTTGTGAGGATTAGAGACATCAGAGATGATCATTCTCCATATTATGTCTCATAGCTCCAACCTGCATGTGGAACTCCTTCAATTTATTTTTTTATTTGGTCAGTAGTATTTGGAATTCATCCAATTTTTGGTTTATTATTTTTCAGGTTTAATAAACATTTGTTATTTTGTTTAGCAGTCGTAATGACTGAATAACATTAGTTATATGACTTGGTAGACTTCAAGACTAATGAACGTTGTTTGTTTAATACATGTAGTAATCAGGAATCATCAGTTGTGTATGTAGTTCACTAGTTTTCAGGATAATTTAACATTGTTATTATTACTACTCTTAATTTATCAGCATTGATTATTTTGTTCAGTAATAGTGAAGACTAATCAATATATTTCTGTTTGTCAGTAACACTGTAGGCAAACCAACAATGTTTATTTTGTTTAGCAATCGTGTCTCAGAATTGTTCTTTATTTTAGTTTGGAGTATTAATTTTAAACTAACAGAACATTTTCTACATTCTAATAAAGCTCTCAAGAGTACAGTTTAGCCTTCAGTTCTCGTCCCAAAATTCCAAGAACACCTGAACCTGGTGCGTCTAGACCTGATGCAACCCCATCTCCACAGCCACCACAATCTTGTGGGATGGCTCAAGCACCCATGTCACCCAAAGTGTCAGCAAGTAGTCCACCTTACTCACCTCATAATGCACGGAATAGACATTCAGGTTTGTTGTGAAGGAGAAATGAATTAGGA